AACCGATTGGAATGATTTTTTTTTTGTTAGGTAGATATTCAAAAAGTCTATTAGGACACCAAATATCATGAATAAATCTCCATTTCCAGGGCCAACTAATCTGATTTTTCAAGGTCAAAAATCTAAAAAAATTACTAGCGATTTTTTTAGAAAAAATCTGACTACACCACTGGATTTGTGACATTTTCAAATGGGTAACATGTAAATTACGTTGAAATGCGTCAATCAATAAAAAAGTTATAAAGAAATGAAATTTGAAAAATATGCTGTTTAATCAACCCACCAATTCATGTTCAGGAATTTAACTTTTTTATTACTGAACAGATTTCGATGAAACTGTGATCAGTAATATTTCAAGACATCCTGAATCCAGTGGAGTATACAGAATTTTCATAAAATTGCTGAACATGAATTGGTGGGTTGATTAAACGGCATATTTTTCAAATTTCATTCCTTTATAACTTTTTTATTGATTGACGCATTTCAACGTAATTTACATGTTACCCATTTGAAAATGTCACAAATCCAGTGGTGTAGTCAGATTTTTTCTAAAAAAATCGCTAGTAATTTTTTTAGATTTTTGACCTTGAAAAATCAGATTAGTTGGCCCTGGAAATGGAGATTTATTCATGATATTTGGTGTCCTAATAGACTTTTTGAATATCTACCTAACAAAAAAAAAATCATTCCAATCGGTTGAAAAATGTAAGTTTTATAAGGGTGCTTCCATCTTAAATGGGTCACACTGTATATATCCGGGAAAAAAGACTCACTTTTTTCCACGTGAAAAAAGTAATTTTTGAAAAGTGACATTTTATAACCTGCCAACAGAGATGAAATGCCAAACTTTTTCCCGTCAAAGAAAAAATACAATAATTATAATTATAAAAAATTTAGTGCGTACATATGCGGTTCCCGCTATACGAACACCACATTATTTTACGTAGATATCCGGTTCCCGCAGTGAAAAGTTTTTTCGTGATTTGATAACGAGATGAGGATCATGGCATCCATACAAATTGAATAGTAGATCTCAAAAACCTCACGGCACAGCGATGTATTTGCTGCCGTTATTCTGGACATATTTCCGTCATGTCATAACGAGTTGAAACAAAACGCAAATGAATGGAGATAATGTCCCATTTGCGAATATCCGAACGTGCCGCTATCCAAACTGAGCTAGTGGCAGAGCGTCAGTATTTCCGTGAATATTTCGCCCTCGTCGAAAGATAACATCCGATGGACCAGTGTGAAACTCATGTGGTGCTGAAACTACAAGCATTCGAATCCACATGTTGAGTTATATACTGGTCCATCGGATATTATCTTTCGAGAGGGGCGAAATATTTATTTTTAATCCTCGTAACATGAACACTGGAATCACATACCCTGAATCATCTATATACTACAGACATTATTCACTACCAAGGTGAATATTCGATTTTTTTCACCACTAGCCATGTTTTAAAATCATTATACAGGGTATGTTACGACGAGCTTACACTATCTCTATATCGAGAATCCGTCGGTAGAAATACATGAAAATATGCAAGCTCATATTTTAGAATACGCTCTCTTCATTCAAAATAATATCAGCAATGCAGTGTTGCCGCTTCTATAAAAAAGTAGCAACTTTGTTATTTCAAATAGAATACCCTGTATTTCATTGCATTTTTAAATTCTTGCTGAAGTGCTGATTTTACCGATACATCAGACTTGGGGGTCTATCGAAAATGATTACAGAGATATAGGGTGTTCAAAATCGAGATTTTCCAGCTTCAGGATTTGTTTTTGTCGAAACTATTAATTATATTATATTCAATCGGAATCGATACAGGGCGATCAGAATTCTGAATCTTGAACCACCCTGTATCACTTTATTCTCTCGATATATAATCTACTATTATTCTACATAAAAAATGGAGTGATAAAAAAAGAAAATTAATTGAATTGACACCACATAGATATTCTGTTTACAGCCAAGATGACAATAAAAAATTGCACGTGATGATAATCTTGTTTTCCTCCTACTTTGCACTGATTTTTGATTTATTTTGTAAGACTGTTGAAGTTGAGTTTGTTGTCCATTTCAATACCAAGGAACCTACTTTGCTGAATTTTGGCTTCTGAGGGTGTGATTGTTGATTGTGACTGTAGTTATATTGTCTGATAATCTTCGATAAAATATATAACAAACTATGATTTTCTTGGATCAGGTTTCAGCCTCCATAATTTGAACCAAGTGCTGGTGTTGTTTATCAGGTGCTGTAATTTTTCTGTTGTTGACTTCAGTGATCTATTATAAGAAATTAAATAGGTGTCGTCTGCATACCGTAGAATGGTAGAATGTGAAGGTCTTCATCAATTTCGTTGTTGATATCTTGGTTGAAGCTGTATACAGGCTGATTCACGGTGGATGGCACATTATAGACGTTTCTGGAGAACGCAACTCCGGATCATTCTGAAAAGTCATGCCTTGGATAATTAGTTGTGTTCTATCGACCTAAAATATTCTCAGTGTTGCGACGTTGCCGCCTATATTGAAAAGTAGCAACAACTTTGATTTTTCAAATGGGCTGCATATTATTCAATTTTCAGATTCTCCCTGAAGAGCTGATTCCATCGATCTATCACACTAGGGGTCTAACGGAAATGATAACAAAAATATAAGGTGTGAAAAATCGAGATTTTTCAACTTTGAGAATTTTTTATGTCGAAACTATTCATCATTGGTCAAAACGGTTTCCTTGTCCTTGCCTTAACTTTTCATGTACTATCAATTGATATTTAATTGAAATAGATACAGGGTGGTCAAAAATCCTAATTCTGAACCATGAAAATGTGCATGCGAATATTTTAGAATACGCTCTTTTCATTTAAAATATTTTTGACAATGCAGTGTTGCCGTTTCTACTAGAAAGTAGTAGCAACATTGATATTTCAAAAGGAACACCTTAAATTTTATCGCATTTTTAGATTTCTCCCTGAGGAGCTGATTTTATCGATATATCACACTTGGGATCGAAAAAGATTACAGAGATATAGGGTGTTCAAGGTTCAGAATTCTGATCATCCTGTATCTGTTCCGATTAAATATCAGATAGGGACATGTGAGCCGTTTTTGGCTGATAATGAATAGTTTCGTCACAAAAAAATACTAAAGTTAAAAAATCTCGATTTTGAACACCCTACATCTCTGTAATCATTTTCGATTGACCCCAAGTGTTTTGTACCGATGAAATCAGCTCTTCAAGGAAAATCTGAAAATGCAATAAAATACAGGGTATTCTGTAGGGATCGACCGATACCGATATTTATATAGGCCTATCGGTGATATCGGCCTCTTTGGCCGATTATCGTATCTGCCAATATCAAAAACCGATAGACCGATATATTTTTTTATTGGTAAAAAAAAGTCAATTTGAAAAATGAATGAAAAAAATACACTTCCTTCAAAAATATATCTTTATTACCAATGAAAAGTATGTAACGTAAAATCAACTAAATTCTTTGACTAGTAATTGAAAATTAATAAAATAAAACCATAGGCGGATTGCAACTGTAAGGTAAGATTATTTCATCTTACTAAAATACAAAAATATTTGATTAATACTGATCATTTAGTTTTGGTAGGTCGTGATGCAAAAACAATAAGCTTTCTGTCCTATCAGGACTATCAGGAGTTAGTCTGCTATGTTTTGCATCATAAATATTACCAGCTTCAGAGAAAACTTGTTAACGGCCGATAGACCGATATATCGGTATATCGGTATTTGAAATATCGGTATCGGCTGATTATCGGTATCGGCTAAAATTTCTATATCGGTCGATAGAAGCGGCAACATTGCATTGCTGAAAATATTTTGAATAAAGAGAGCGTATTCTAAAATGTGAGCATAGATATTTTCATTGATTTCTCCCGCCTGATTCTCGATATAGAGATAGTGTAAGCTCGTTATGACATACCCTGTATGTTATATCCCGCACCCTAGGAACTCTAGACCAGTGAATAATGGTTATTCACTGCTATTATTCACTGGTGTGAAAAATGGACATTTTTTACTTGATGAAGTACATGTATTATGAATATTTTATGCAACAGTCGTGGATAAACAGTCTTATCGCCCCTAAAAGGAGTAAATTATGGTAGGTTCTATAGCTAGTGGTGGAAAAATTACTATCCGCTCTGAACTGGCATCCAAGAACAAAAATTTTTTTAAACATCTTATAAATGTAAAGTTTGCATTTGTAAATATTAACACCTATTCAGTTGTTCAGTTGTATTCGAAATTGAAGATACTTGAAGTTGGTAATAAAAGACGAAAAAACAAAACAAATTACAGAATTGAATAATATTTTTGTATCAACAAAAGTTTCCTGTTAAATATTCAGTTTCAAGGTTCGTCTAGGAAGTTTGTAAATCATAAATAAAAGGTAATAGCGGAACTCAAGCATTTGCTTCCGGCGTGGTCAGAAGCACCGAAAGTATCAATGGTAATGATCATTATTGTCATATATACAAATATGTTCTTATATCCCATTCAGAGACTAGTCAATCACCTGGTTGGTGATACTACACTCACGCATGTCCTGACATTATTGGAACCTCGTGAGAAAGTCGGCGACCTTTCACTTTTCCATACATACTTCCATAGGAAATGTTCTTCAGAAATATTGCCAATCATTCTATCACTAGCAATACCAGTCAGACAATTTTGAAGCCCAGTCCGAACATCTTTTCGTCGTCAACCTCGAAATATGTCGAACACCTCTTTGACAAAACTCGTTTATCGGCAAAGCTTTGGAAGTATTCTCAAAAACAAGTTCAGTAGACAATTCAATAGGTACCTTTTTCCCTATCTCACTCAAGTTCGTACGATCTTCCTCCAGCATAATAGGGATTCCCTTCAGTAATCTCCTAAAAATCAAGTATATCAACGTAAACTAAGCAACTTTGTACTGGATTTCTCATTTAAATCGAAAGTGGTTTCTTTCTGTAGGAAAGGGGCACTGGAGAATTGAAGCTCCTCAAACACAATGAGGCAAGTTCCATGAGAATCGTCATGAGAAGAGATAAAACTTTGAAAGTGTGTGCCAATCACTTTATCACACCTTGGATGGAGCTCAAACCCAGTGCTGGAAGTGAGAAAGCGTTTGTATATACTGTTCTTGCTGATTTTGCTGACGAAAGACCCAAGTCCGAATGCCTGGCTGTGAAATTTGCAACTATTGAGAGTAAGTAATAATTGATTTCATCATCATTTGACATGAAACTTTTACTTTGATCCAGGGTTGGCATGAATTAATTCATATGAATCAAATCAGTGATTTAATTCGTGAATTAATTCCATTGACTTTTTTCGAAAAAGTCATGAATCCATTCAAATTTTCAAAAATGAGACAAATTGCACTATTACCTTTGATTTTAACTAGTTTGAACTGAAAAATTCGATCGTATTTTGGCAAGACTTTGTTATTTCAAGCATGACAGAGATGTTTACTAACAGATATATACAGTATCAAGTATCATCCATAAAGTCCATAACATATGAGAACAGGTTTATTATCACAGCATCCAATTTTTTTCTCTCGGCGATCCATTATGCATATCCGATAAGTTGAAAATCGATTTTGACACATGTCACGTGATCACTGGTATGGTGATAAATAGCAATAATACTAAAAAGCGACGGAAAGTGGGATTAGATAACAAAATATCCATACACATTTCTTATTGAGTTGCTATTCCACATTCAGTTTCAATTGGAAATAGCTATATTTTTTCGAATATTCTTCAATTTTGTTACAATTCTCTTTTTTTTTTCTGACAGTAGTGATGTTGATGATGTACAAGTTGAATAGAATTCAATTTCATGCTCACATTTGGAGTTTCCAGCCATTATTTGAGAGTACTGAAAATAGCTATTTTTATTTTTTTTAAATAATTTCATCTTCCCATCTAACCCCACTTTTTGCCATCGTAATTTTGATTTTACCGCCATACCAGTGATCAAGTGACATGTTTCAAAATCGACTTTTAAGTAGTCAGACATGCATATGAGATCTCCGAGAAAAAATGTTTCGATATTCTACTAATAAACTTCTTCTCCATGTGTTACGAACTTTATGGATGATACTGGATCTATATGTATCTATTATTTTGTATTCTATCATCACTTTTAATTTTTTTTTGAAAAAATGACGTTATATTATGATGTTATTCTACAAGATTTCTGAAGGGAATGAAAACATAGTTTTTTTGTTTCTTTTTTTCTATTTCGCTTTGGGTAAATGAAATTTGTTTTTTTATTCGAATGAATTAATTCAAAAAAGTCTGACTTGATTCAAAAAAGTCTGACTTGATTCAAAAAGTCGGACTTTGATGACTTTTTTATAAAAGTCATGACTTATTCCATCCCTGCTTTGATCCACCCTTGTATAAGCGGGATTTTAACAGGTTGAATACCAAGCGACTGGTATATTTGTACAGGGTTGATCAATCACAGAACTTGAGTTTTGAGTTCGGCTATATGCTTGGCATTATGTAAAAGGATTGGGAACCTCACAGAAATATTAGTTATTCGATCATTCATAAATTCTCAATTGAGTATTGGTAATACTCCTAATTAGCAATAAAAATTAAATTGTCGCTAAATGTTCCCTTATGATTTGTGGCTTATTGCTTATTATAAATTTGTGTAAATCATAATTGAGTATATCAATTCACACTAGAGGAAATTTGAATCAGTGAACATGACGACCACGGCGCACGACTTGTGGGCGTGGTCTTGTCAGTTTTTGGCACCCAGCACAATGTTGCCAAGTCTCCAACATTCACATGATATTTTGTTATGAAGAATGAGAAATATTTGGACATGCTGGTTGCATGTTGATTATAATTGGTGACTTGACAACCTTTCTTCATGATTAGAAATGGATGATTATCTGACCAATAGGTCAGTATGTCCGTTCACTCTAATATGATCAACTCCTCCTGTTGGAGATTGTCGACTCCAAAGATTTCAAATCTCAGCCTCCCGTACGCCTCGCAGCTTCGCCTTCCCCACATCTGCAAGTTTATAGTCGATACTTTTTCGATTGAAACACCGTGTATCTTTTTCCAATGCAATATTTTATTGATGCATAATTGGTCCTATTGCCCTATTTGGGTCAAAACAATCCGCCCTTCAGTATTTCACAAATTCCTACTGCAGAAGTGAATTCTTATTTCTATGTAGAATGGGGAAATATTCTCATTGGTTGTTGAGCAATAAGACACTAATGGCGCTTATTGAGTGTACAAATACAAGAAATGATCAAAATAAAATAGGTATAAGGCTTTATTTTGACTAGTGTATATGTCGGCCTCAATTAGTAAAATCCGTCATTCCCTGAAATGCCTAGTCATTTCACGTATTGTCGGCAAGCAGCGTAACTTCCATTTTCAGCCGTTACTCTGTTTGCCGGAGGGTTGAGGGATGAAAATATCCTTTCTGCATATGCATATGAAGGGAGACTATTTTTCCTAAACAAAATATAACCAAACTCCGCCTAAATGAACCTTCCTCCTAGGAAGGATATGTTTCAGAAAATTACTTGGGAGAACAGAAGAGACTACTCCTTCTAAACAACCTAAGACGACTCGGCCTGAATGAACCTTCCTTCCATCATTACAGGGATTGCCTGAAACTATTAGGCAAACGGTGTACGAAATTTAAAGTTACGCTGTTTGCCGGCATTACGTGAAATGACTAGGCATTCCAGAGAATGACGGATTTCACTGTTTGACGCCGACATATACAACCCCATTCTACATGCAATAAGAAACACAATCATCTTTATCGAATATTGCAAGAAGAAATATCCTACATTCAAATCAAACTCCTTGAACTTCCCGTTAATTCAAGACTTACGTTGAAAAATATCATTTTGAATCTCAAAACACTTGCGATTCTAGTTCTGTAGTTTCAAAAACATACCAACTTGTTGGAGTTTATAAGATCGCCATATTAGCCTCAGTAAATAGCTCTATACGCACAGAAAGCACGTCGCACAGTTTTTCCGCCAGTATAAAAGGTATGTCATGATCGCGTAATCGCCGTCAACAGCGGATGACATTACTGTCAAGAATTATAATTCAGACTGTTTGTCCAAACTTTTTTGATGTCCTATATGGTAGTTTGTAGGTAAAGTATAGTACGTAATATGCTTCTTACAACACATTACGTAATATACTATTATATTTCTAGAGTAAGGTTATGTCTCGGGTTGTGTACATATAGACTTTGGTGACCAAATACCAAAGTGTGTTTGAAGCGAAAAGGCTATTTTGAAATTAATTATTAATGATTTAACAATTCAATCGCCATCTATCTAGATACTGAATACAAAAAAGTTCTTTGGAAACCAAGATTTGTGAAAAGATAGAAAAAATCGACAATGTCTCATTGATACATCATCTTATAATTTTTTCTTTTAGATGCTTTACTTTTCAAGAAGAAGTTTGAAGAAGCAAAAGAGATCTTAACAACAGAATGTGATCTATACAACGGGAAGGGTGATCAAGAAAATGAGGCTGCAGAAGAGTGTGAGAATGTGAGTGTTAACAAGAGCAAGGATGAATCTGAAGATGAAGAATGTAATGAAGTAACACAAAAAATTAGTGAGTTGGAGGTATCAGCTAACAAAAATTGATTTCGAAACTCATCCATACATTGCAATATGTGTTCGTTTTACTTGACTCCCCTCTATTTATCTACACGATTTTTTTTTCTTTGTGTTTGTTCAGGTTTGTGAGATTCGGTAATGAATGTTTGGGAATGTTCAAAATGCATTTGTGGTGGAGCATTTCAACCCTAGATTGAATACATATATATTTTTGTATTTTTGCATTGTGTATAATGCTTTGAATTTGATGAATGTATTATTACATGATGCACTTTGAATTCGAATAAAAAGTTAATTTTTATGATTACATAAATGAGTGTGACTTCATATTGTCGTTGACTGGGCAGTCGAATGGTTCGAAAATATCACGCTGTATATATCTACATTGAATTACGGTATACCGTAATTTAATGTAGATATTGTGCCTAATTTCCGAAAATGGAGGTTTATCGTACCTAGGTAACTAATCCTTCAGGTTGGGAAGGTAAGATATATAAAAGTTAAGCAAGCCAACGTTAGTTTAGTTCATCACTGAAGAAGCTACTGTGTTAGCGAAACATGTCGTGTGTTAAATAAATTTTGTGGAAATCTTATCGTTTGTGAAGTTTTAACATTCATTAGTTTGATGCCATTAAGCAATGAGAGAGCTGCTTTGAATAGTTTTTTGCATAGTTTGAACAATGACGGAAGAACTATTGGATCTTTTTTTCATTCAAGAACGTAATTTTGGATATTTTATCCAGTGCCTATTAAGTATAGTCATATTACATTGATTATCATTATTCATTGATGAAAAAAAAAATGCAGGGGGTTGAAGGAGAGTGTGAATAAAACAAGAAACAACATATAAATCGAACATAATTCAACATTTTATTGTCGATGGATGATCAGAATTATAAGAAACAACGATTTCAACATCAAAAGCCAAACGGATTTTTTCCTAATTCATTATTAAAACAAAAACGCATGAACTTGAAGAAGTATGTAAAATAAGAAACAAGGCATAAATCGAACTTAATTTAGCATTTTATTGTTGATGATCAGAATCATAAGAAACGACGATTTCAACGTTATCAGCTAACACGGATTCTTCCCTAAAAAACAATGACTCATCGCATTCCAACGTTTCAAAACTCAGCAGCATTTCTTTGGCCAGATCATCGACTACTTTATTCGACAGCTTCGTCAGGTTATGGAACTCTTCTTTGTGAACGTTCAACAGATCGACGTTTTGGAATAGTTCGCCGCACACCTCGCATGTGCATATGTTCGATTCGCTTGTTTTCTTGAAGCCAGGCAAGGCTTTCCTCTGTTTTTCTCCTGTACTGCAATATGAACGCAAGATTGAGGTCTCAATTATAGTACAGGATCCGACTGCAAGATTACTGTGTTCATCATTCAATATTATATTCATGAATATCGGAATATACAGGGTGACATAGAAAAACGTACATTGCATAGTGTGCACAATAGAGGGTACTAAAAAAAGAAAAAAGTTCCTATGGCCGCAAGGCCTTCGGTTAAAAGATACGGGGTGTTGAATTTTTTTTTTGTTTTCTTTGAATATCTTTGCCAGAGACGCAAGAAATGGATAAAATGTGGTATACAGGGGTTTTTCATCTTGCTAAATTCAAATATGATCTTAGTTTTGTGATGACTGATAGAGGGCGCTACATACAGGGTTCCATCCCTATTGAATCGGTCGTAACTTCTTTGTTATACACTGTATGTCATTTTCGACGGAAAAAATTTGTTATCCCTTCTTTTATACTTAAGAAAGGTATACCTTGTCCAAGTCGCTAGAAGCAATGGTTCTAGTACAAATGCATCTAAAAGCCGACAATGCACGCAAATTATTCAAAAAGCGCCAAAGTTACCTTTGCAAAAACAATGATAAATAACAATTAAATAATAATGACACTTGTCAAACTTATGTAATAACTGTTAGAGGTTTTAAAATGTAATTGTTGAAGTATTTATCATTGTTTTTGCAAATAGATAAAATAAAATAAAATCAACACCCTGTATCTTTTAAATGAAGGCCTTGCGGACCCGTGTTCATGGGAACTTTTTTTTCTTTTTTCAGTGTATTTTATTGTGTGGCACTATGCAATGTACTTTTTTCTATGTCACCCTGTATATTGTAGGAAATATATTTTTCACGTGTTGCCTATCGAAATATAACCTCAATTAGTTTCAATTGATAGTTATTAAACCATCTAGTTTATGGGCGATTAATAATCTAAGATATTCAAACGTGCGAAAAAAGCGAGATCATAAATCAGCTCATTATAAGATTGGTTACAAATACAAATAATAATTATATTAATTCACACTAGAGGACATTTGAATCAGGGGACTTGATAACCACGGCGCACGACTTGTGGGCGTGGTCTTGTCAGTTCTCAGCATTCAGCACAATGTGGCCAGTCTCCAACCTACACATGATATTTTGTTATGGAGAAAAAAAAATATTTGGACATGCTGATTGCTCGAAAAACATCATGGGTTCCTCCCATTATGTTTTATTCAACAACAGGACTCAAACATCTTGATAACTTGATTATAATTGATGACTTGACAACCTTGCTTCATGAGTGGAAATGGAAGATTATCTGACCAATAACGAAACAGCATAAAACCTGATGCCACCATTAATTCGACGTATTGAGGTCTGAATTCAACGATTTTGAACAGTGCATAGACTTATTATTTACATGAAAAAACCGTGAGAAGTGTTGCAATAAGTAATTTAGGTTTTCCTAACGACACAGTGGAATAATTTAATACCAATATTTCATACGAAAAAACGAAAAGGTAAATCTCTTTTCAATGCGATCGAAAATGATATTATCGCTTCCTATTGATTTAAAATGTCTTTTTCGCACCCCATCATCATGAAAACCTCCAAATTTTTTGGCATGAAGAATTTATTATAGTCTATTCAAAATTGATTTTTATTCTCAGAAAATTATTTCACAGGATATCTGCGACTGAAACAGTGAGAATATATATATGATTTTTTTTTTAATTCGGATAGGCCTCGACGTATTAATTGTATTTGTGTAAAACATGGTAGCAACAAAATGAACATTATTTGCAGATCTTGTGTTACAGTCTTTCCCACTTCGAGGTAAAATTTATCAGTTCCATTTGCAAACTGTCAAGGCTTATTTCATCAGCAGGGTAATTATTTTTCGACCTTTTCATAATCCTTCCCTATTGAGTTTTCAGTTAATATTATTTGATCATCAGTAAATCTTGACAGATGAATCGTGATTTTCTAGATTTTATATTTTTTAGAAGCTCTATTTGCAGTATCCATGTTCATATTTTTTTATTCATTCAACATTACTACCGACCCCAAAGAGCACCGGTCCATCGGGCAATCGCCCGACCGCCCGGCCCCCAGTCCGTCTCTGCTTCTGTGTCATAAAGGCTATGATATGCTCGATCTAAATGATGCATCATTCAAAAAGTGATTGTTAGTTATTGTTTCGTCGTATAAAAAATATAAATACCCTGACATTTTATTGACAGTGAAAAAAAAATCACCTGCATAATTTGATTCAATTTTCTGTCACAGTAGTATCCGAGGTCTTATCCACTACGGTTTGAACCACAGGTTGAGAACACTAGCTTTCGAAGCATGCGCAATGACTTACTAGCGATGTTACGCGCTAAATGGGCGTGTACACCTTAGTAGAACTTTCAACTCAAACCATGTTTATAATGATCCTTTTATACATAAATAATGATTGACGACATAATTCGATCGAAAAATCAACTGGAATGTTTTATTTTTGGACATAAATAATAGTACCATCTGAAAACGGACCCTCTTATGACGTAGAAACCTCATATCGCCATATTTAAGAGAAAATACCAAAAGGCCAACGGAGACTGAGGCAACTGATATATTAATTCTTTCAACTGTGATCTCGCGCTAATTTACTCTGTCAGAAATCATGTATCATTCATCTCTGTCTGGAATAGTCTTGTTTCAGTATTAGAGTTTTGACGTCACATCATTGCCTCGTTTTCAGAGGTCCGAAAAATCGGGGATTTCAATAATTTTTAATAAAACGTAGGGAGCTCACAGCAAGAAACGGTTTGCGGTGGTGAGCTAGTTTGGGTGAGTTCTATCGAATTATGAAATGAAAATATTTTGTGATATAAGCCCATTCTCTTTCGATCGAATCTATTGTAATGATATTTCCCTTAGAGGGGCTTCAGAAACATCATCAGTAAGACAGGAGTACAACGATCATCCTGTATCACGCATCCCAGATTGTTTTCCAACCTCCCAATGATTCCTACATACACCAGCATATTTCCGAACACTTAATATATGCCGCAGTGACAAATAACGTCACAGAAGATTCTGGAATGTTCTGGAAACAATCGATGGAACAATTAGAGAGAGGTTTTGTTCTAAGAAGCTTCTAGAACAAAAAGAATGAGACGGAAGATCATTCGAGAACGTTCTCGAACCAAAGCCTGCCAAGTGATCTCATATATAAACGGCCGAACAACTGCTGTCAGGCAGTTAAGCAGCGAGTGTCAGAGAGACAGATATATACCGCGTGATATAAATCGTTTTACATAAATAGTAGTCATTCGATATAAATTAGTGTTTCTTTAGTTCAAATAAATGAGTTCGAAAATAAATAGTGTCGTGTTCGCTTCTGCTATCTTCAACAAGTGGCAACCCCTATTAGCGGCTATATTTGCATTGGCAGAGTTAGTACATAGTCTATCATGTTCAGAAAAATGATCAATAACAATAAGAAACGAAGAGGTTGCGGCCAAGTGCTCAACAACAACCATTACTTTTCAAGTTCTTCACATCCATAGCTGTAAGGTGGAACATATTTCATTTGAAAAATAAATGGATGACATTTATTCCAGAAAGTCAATCATCATTATTTTATTAACAAATACTTGCGGCCACATTTCGATAAGCAACCCGGTAAGAGTATATTCTTCTATTCATGAATATATGTTGAAATCAGATTTTCATTGAATACTTGAACGTCGTAATCTTGCAGTCGGATCTTAGGCTATTACATCGTCAATTTTTTCAAGTCTAAAAGTCTGATCCTTTAGAAGGCGAAGTAATGGAATGTGGTGTCTTTATAGTCAGTTGAGACACCAAAATGAAATGTTCCGGCTTCGCGTCAACAAATCCTTCAAGAATCTACCGCCAACAGCGGCACAGAAAAATATTTAAATAAAAGCGGTTTCCGAAAGATCTTCAGATTGTTCATGGATTTGGTTGGAACTAATCATATCTTCATATTGGGACATGAGATGTGGATATAGTAATGAAAAATTGAATTGCCGGATATCAAAAGATCTGCAATACTATTGGTAAGTTTCCAGACCATATTACCAGGCTCTTTTTTTTAGTGAATAGAGATACAATGGTCCTATCATATCAATTTGAAATATGATTACAAAATAAAATAACATTTCTCAAAGAAATAAACAGTATTCTGAAAGAATTTTTCATGAAACAAAAATAGATATTCAACTATGTGTTTTTCGGTATCTCACTTCGCTAGTTCCGCAGAATCCCACAGTCACACAAAATAACGCGTTTCCTAGCGTGTTACATACAATATTTTTCAAATTTTTATGGATAATTCCGCTTGAACAGATATAATGACCAGTTCTATATGAGTTCTACCGATAATGTACGAAATTGAGTAGTCACTTTGAAGTATCCGCCAAACAATAATATTGTCACAAATCAGCGACGAAATTCATTAAATAGACCCGTCTGATATTTTCATTAGTGGAAAATAGCTGGTTCAAGTTAACATTTCCCCAGTGATATCGAAGTAGTAGTAAAAAATGCAGAATTGCCTTTGCCATCCTTATTTTTATTTCGTAACTGGAGTTGAAATAAACATTTCAGCACCAGTTATATATTTTACTTCAAGCAACTGGTTACGTGAAGTGAGACGTTTCAAATTTTCCGTCAGTTTTGAAGTGTCCAATCACATACAGTTCCACAATTTCACTACATGTATTACATCAATATTCTACACATCCCAGGAAACCCTATACTTACACTTTATGATGTCGCATTTCATGTTTCCATCTACACTTCACGTTGGCATAAGTATTGGAACAATATCTGCACCTAACTCGACAGGAATTCGTGTGAGTCTTCATGTGCTTTTCCAAATAAACCACATTCTTGAATGATTTGAGACAATGCTTACAGAAGACTGGATCTGTAATAGAAAATTGGGATCTCAACATATTCATTATCTGTAAGTTCACAGTTATCTTATCACCCTGATGACGGACGTCAAATGATATGTGAACATAAAATTAAATAACCAGCTGTACTGAACATTCCACAATTTCGTTCTTCTGTTATACACTCATAACTACTGACGTCACGACTCAGTGAGTGGAACATATAGAAATATCCTTTATTATGTCATAGTAAGGGAGGCAAAGAGGATAAATAGGGATTTACTGGAGCGTCGTGGGGACGTATCAGATTGTGAAGATTAGATGCGAAAATGAAAAAAAGTGTATATGATATATGACCTTTCACTGGTGGGGAGAGCGTGTACAGGTGCTCAGAAATGTAAAAAAAACAGTTTCATAGATATACTCGACCGCATCGGATATTAATAGTGTGTGCGCCCCACGTGTTTCTGATAACCGAAAAATATTAATCTGCCGGTTTGCATGGTAGGGGTGGCCGTACGAAGGGATAAGGAATGAGTAAAAAAGAGGGCCCCTTGATGGAAATTGACGTTAAAGTCATCTTAACAGGGTACGGACAGATCATAGCTGCATTCTTTTTCAATGATCTAGAGATTTTAGTTTTGTCTACTGGCATCCCTGACATTGCTGTCACATCACATCCATACGCGCTACAGAAAATCATTCAAAATTTTAATAATAAGTATGTACAGGGTATTTACTTGTTGAGGAAAATCATATGGCGAACGAGTTTTGTAATTATGATCCGATTCTATTCAAAATTGGAAGGAATGTGGGGTTTTCCAGGGTTGGAGATGATGATTGTTTCGTCAAACTTGGAAAATTCAAGATGACGGATCCAATATATAGCGAAAGAAATTTCTAATTATGATCTGATTCTATTTAAGATTAGTATCTCAGAGTTTTCTAGGTCGAACTTTATGATTTTTTGTCAAAATTGGGAAATTCAAGATAGCGGATCCAATATGGCGAACGAAACTTGTAAATATGATCCGATATTCTATTCAAAAAATCGAAATTGGTATCTGGGGATTTCCGGGGTCGGAGATTATAATTATTTCGTATAAATTGGGATATTCAAGATGGCGGATCCAATATGGTGGAAGAGTTTTGTAATGAAGATCTGATTCTATTCAAAATTGGTATCTGGTGATTTCCGGGGTAGGAGATAATGATTGTTTCGTCAAAATTGAAACATTCAAGATGACGGACCCAATATGGAGAAAGACATTAGTTAATATAATCATTACTCTACCACAAATAGAAAATATGTAGGTTGCAAGAGTGAATTAACGTGCCTATAAGTTATACTGCGTATACTTTCATCAATAAATTATTCGAAAATGACTTTCGATTTAAAAGAGACGGAAAAATTATATGTATAACATGGGGGTGAAGTATATTCTATTCTTGATTTTCGTGCACATTTAACGTATTAATTTTTATCAGCCTACTTTTCGTCCAAGACGAAGTTTTAAACATAGTGTGATATTAGTAACTCCATAAATTCTTCTTCGAGTTGGATTTCTGAAAATATATTTAGCACACATGACATGAGTACTGTAGTCTAGATACCCACATCGAGGTGTCCACCATTTCTCAATCATAAGGCTCAGCTCATTCAGCTCATAGATAAACTACTGCTCAGCTTGAAATCAGAATTGATTCAGCCAATTCATTCAACTCTGGTATACAGTCTAAGAACAGTCTCTTTTGGTGAAATATATTAAGCTTTCAGTACAATTTATATTCTCCCTAAATCGCAAAGATTATGCTGGAGTATTAAACTCTAAAACTAGAGGATTGTTCATCTACATCTTGGTATAGTTGAATCAGGAATTCCATATGAAAATTACGTATGATACGCCAGTGACTTCAATATAACCTAAAAAACAACGAATGTCAAATATCTATTGTTTATCCCCAGAATTGAATAAGGATGGAACATAACTGTTTCACAAACACTTCAGAGTGAGAGGAGACGAGGATCTGTCCGTACCCTGTTAAGATGACTTTAACGTCAATTTCCATCAAGGGACCCTAGTAAAAAAAATGTATTCGAGCGCGTCATATATTGGGAAGGGACGTTAAGTGAACCCTCAAGGAGCTCCTATTCAAAAGATTGACGATTTGGACGCGACCAAAAGTCATGATCAATTTTTGAAAACGAAAAAAAAAATCGTGATCTTGAAATACTCGAACGCGTCAGATTATTATACAGACGCTGCATCTTGATGTCCTTGTCGTATTGACCCATAATCTAACAATTATGTAGAGGAATTACGTTAATCTGACGGTTGGATTTTTTGTTGTTGACTGAATGTAATAACAATGAAATTGCGTCAGTTTTTTGTAGCAGGACTTCAACAGCTCGAATTCACAATTTTGAGATGGAAGGCTCATGTAGACAAACAGGTTGGCCAATAGTGTGGCAAAGTGAGATAACGGCTTTGCTGTTGAGATAGATGAACAAAAAATCTTGAGATGGTCTAGTCCCATGAGCAGTACAATTCTGAAATATTTTGCGTTATACAGGGTTTCATCTGAAAATTCGACATTATTAAATTTGCCTCGGGATTTTCTGCAAACCGGCTTACTTCGACGATAATCCAAAACTGTTTTACATTTATTCAATGTCTCCGACGTAAATTTTATTATTTTTTCGAATGTTTTTTTTACCACAAAATAAACCATTCGAACTATTGTCACTCATTGTTGTAACATAAAACTCACTGCAATGAACTCAATAAACTTTTCTCTACAAATGCCAAAAAATGACAAAGTTCAAGCATTGATATTGTTGATACGAAGTGATACTTTTTTTTTAGTTTCCTACATTACCACAATTACATATATTGTTCCCAGTGGCTGCGAGCACCACATTAATTAGAAGATTTTCGCTACTTCGGCTTGTGCAAATGGGCAGATTATGTTATTTCCGTGATCTGTGAATAATTGCCTTCAGAATAAGAAAAAAATTAACCGCGGTCGAGAATGTACAGGTGACGATTTTTTTTTTGGAACTTTGTGGCTCTTTCATTTCCTTATGCCACGCTCAAATATCTGATGATCGATTTTTTTTTTAATCTGATCGGCTGCCCTACACTTTCGATGCCATATAAAGGGTCCAGTTTTGGTGGGAGTACTCCACAAGGTCCAAGGATACCCTTAATCTGCCGCACTCGAGTAAATCCCGAAATCCCCGCTTGGGCTTCCCTACTATCAGTATTTATTAAATAAATTGTTGAATTCACCAAACGTGGATCACCCTATATATTGAATGTTTTCTTATAAGTGTGGCAAGTTGAGATCAAAAATCGACCTGTTCCAGGAACTTCCTGAGAATTGGAGTTTGGCTGAACATGAATTTATTCAGTACTATATGAAAGCACTGTATATTTCAGTAGGAACAATTGACTTAAAAATCGACAATTTAAGAAGAGCGAATTGATGTTTTAGTAACAACATTTCACTTACCGTTTTTTCTGAAATCATATTTCTTCGAATTTTTTCTTCTCATTTCCAAAAATCCAGTATGTCGCCTGACATGAAGTTTGAATGCGCGAGTATTTTCGAAACTTTGGCTACATGTTTCACACTTATATTCTTTAGGAGTAGAAGTAGCAGTAGTATTACTAGTAGTAGTATGCTTCACCCTAAAACACGAACATATTTTTTGGCTATAGGCGACATTACGTCGTTGTTGTTTCACATGTTAGACTTTTGACATTTGGATCGAGGATAAAGTTTCTTGAAATCCATATTTCTCATGAAAAAACAATTGAATATCACTTCCGGTTTTATCAGAAATTTACCTAAAAGTAGAATTTTGAATGGAACCCTGTATATATTTTTACGCCAATCGATATACCGAAAATAGTTATTTGTATGCTTTGGCCGCGAAATAACTCTCTGGCCGGCCTATGGAAAGAGAAGTTACCGTCAAGGCCGTTTTTGGCCGAGGTTGCGACAAAGTTTCGCGGCCATGGTATACACACTATTTTCGTGGAATCGTCAAAATTATTGAACTATATAATTAAAATGATGATATGAATTATTAAACAATAATTTGACATTCTTGATAAAACGAAAATATGTGCTATTGTCGTAGTTTAGGAATGTCAAATTCAGAAGTGGGCTTTGCTGCGAAGTTGTACTCTCTTTGCCTTCAATTGCACAAAAAATATCTCTTCCCAATGTATCACAAGTGGAAATTTGTTTTCAAAATGGCAGTGCAAGAGACATTTTTTCTGGAATCAATATGGCGACACTGTGACTTCAAATGCATATTTTTAGCCATCTTGGTTCAATACCCTAGGAGGGGTAGATGTAACCCTTAAAACCTTATTTGAAAAGGGGACAAGATGCGTTACTGGCTGCTTGACATTAAGTATGATTACAATGAACCAAAAATGGCAGGTAGTGTAAACTATTCATATTCTGTCACTATCGCACGTTAAAACGAGGTTAGGACTTGAAATAAACTTAATACTGTCTGTTGGTTAATCGAGGAGGTAGTACCTGCACTCATTTTGTTATAGATTATTTGGGATTTTCTATTGCGTAAACAGTTGCTATCTACAGATTTGTTTCTTCTGAAACTGTCTCACAAAATGTTTGCTTGAATACTTCTGTATCCAATCGGTACATGCCGATTCACAGACGCCGGAAAATTTTGTTTCTAATTCAACACTGTATTGGATATCACAACCACAGATGACAATATTTCACACGAAGCGTCAATCCATTTTAGGGATTAGCAAACATTATCATCATACTTCTCTATTTTGACACAACACACATTGCGTAATACATGAGAAAGATTCCAATGAGTCCGCATGTGCGAGAACAGAAACAACAAACGGAATGCGGACGACAGCCGAAAACAATGTTGTTAAGTTTAACTATACAAAAAATGAAACTGCGGGACATGAAGTTATCTCAACTTGTAACAAAATCCTTCCAATAGTTTTGAAAAATGCGGAATCAAATATTATTATAATGCCAATCATGTATATGTGCAATTCGCGTTTGCGAAATTTGACACCGTTGTCAACATCAGTTAGCAACTGTAAATGTATGCCCAATACAAACTATCACTGGTTTCAACACTCTCATCGCTTCCAGTATCCAAATCTTTTAGCATTTATAAATGAATTGTTCGCCCAAACCTTAACTGATTTCAACACCCTGGCATCTGTAAATATGCATACCGGCCGATACGGCGATAGCGACAGTATGAGATAAGATCAGTTAAAAGTGTGCTTTTCAAGTTATATAAATAGTGACTGTGATTCTTAATCGTGTATTGTAGATTGTAGTGTTCGAATTTGAATAAATTGTTTTGTTATTTACTGAGTGCTTGTAAAAGACCGCACCCAGAAGTTATTATTAAGTTATTATCGTAACAGTAATGTTTCTTCATGCAGTCGTAGTTATTCATACAGGTGTTAATGAAATGAATATAAACCTTCAATAATTTTCAATTGGAAATGAAAACAAGAGGTGTAGTGTGTGAAGTATTTATCTGTAGATACTGACATGTACATACTTTGATTTTGATTTGGAATTAGTTGCTAATTCTTCTTCTTAAATTCCTATTCAAAAATTTGAAGAAAATTCAAGGGAAATGTCATTCGAAAAACTTACTAAAAGGAATCCTGATTAGCGATAAATCAAAATGTACTCAGTGCTTCATCTATTTTATTAGGTTTCTTGATGGAAATGGAATCAATGACGTCACAGTGTATGCGCCATATTAATTTCAGGATGATGTCTCCAAAACGCCATTCTCAAAAAACAAATGTCCACTTGTGATGTCATCGAACAGGGATTTTTCTGCTTTGTCGAATGGCGTGATTTAAATGACCTATGTCAATTTCAGGTAAAACCGGAAGTGATTATCAATTACCCATTTTGTCTATAGTAAATTAATTTTATGATAAAAATACTCACATGTGGTGATTCTTCATGTAATACTTTCTAACTTGCTCACCGCATATTTCGCAAATAATCATTTCACAATGATCCTTTTTGACATGTCTTTGCATTTCGGTTATCCTGTAGAATAGTTTAGGACATTGGTTGCATGGAATATTCTTGGTCCTATTTTCATCATGGGTCAACATATGTGTTGCGAGAATTTTGCATTCCTTGCCTGAAAGGAAAACACATTCAGTACTTGCTATTGACGCTATTTCAAAAGTTAGGAAATTGTGTGCTGATCGTTGGCAGCAATTACTGTCAAATTGACACTTCCCCATTCCAAAACTCGGTAGTAATCGAGATAATCGCATTTTAAAAATTAGCTGCATAATTCTTAGTCTAAGATCCGACTGCAAGATTACTGCTTTCATCTGTTATTTCAATCCAATATATAGGTAGTTTCAGATAAAAATAGGTCGGAAGTTAATGAAACTTCGGGATATTATTCAGGGATAGTTATTTGATGTGTTCTCAAAGTTTCTCGAGGACACTGTGCGAAAAGAGGAGGGGAAAACAACCGCCCTCCTCCCTACCACCGCTTCCCCGTTTTCCCTCCGAACCCCAATTCACAAAAATAAGTTTCTTCTCTGATGAAAGCTGACCATGTTAACACCAAGTTGTTGGTATTGATATTATTTACGTTTCAGATCGACATACTACCTCCTCGTCCATTACATAATCATTCCAGAGTAGGTAAACGAAGACGTAGTCCTTTTGTGAAAATACTGTTAATGTAAATCATATTTGAAAAAGTTAAGGAGCGTCATATGTATATGTTATTAATGCCATAATCAGCTGGATTTCATAGATTGATCATTCGAAACGTTATTGATTCGTCGCATAAATATTTTCGCATATCACACAGATTGTCTAAAATGATTACCTGCATAACTTGATTAAATTTTTTTTACATAAGTATCCGAGGTTTAATTCACTACAGTTAGCACATTTTGTTGCGAAAACTAGCTTCAGACGCATGCGCAATGACGTGGAGTACAGGGTGGCATTGAAATAAGTGCAAATATTTCCTGATAAAGCTCTACCTGTACTATCGAATGGCACTGATAAAAAAAATTAGCGATCAAGATAATGATTGAACAAAAATGGTAGATTAACTGGAGAAAAATAACTACTTCTCAAACTGATGCCAGACTGATCATTGGTTATATCCTCCCGAAATCCAATGATAAATATGTTCAATGTTTTAGCTTAATGAATATCGTCTTTTTTCCGTTAGTGAACTGATAAATCACTATTATCCAAGGAATTCGTCTGAGTAGTTTCAAGTACGCAGTATGCTTATACAACCAGTAAACTATTCATCAGGTAGGATCACCAATTGTGAACCAAATATAGTTGAAACTCAAAATTCACTACAGTTAAAAGCAATCATTGAAGTTAAAGAATTTTCGGAGCCATGAGTAATGATCATAAAAATGTCACGAATCATTCGCGTTCCGTCATATGCAAATTATTAGAGAAACGCATCGACTAAGAGAGAATATATATCACATCAACATCACTGTCACTCGCTTTTGTTAACTGGACTTCAATATTTGAATGATACTCACCACATATTGGACAAAGACTGGTTTTATGCCGGTTCACGTGCTTTTTCATAGCATATCTAGACTTAAATACCATTCCACATTTTGGACAAGGAAAATTATTGTGCGATTCCTTATGTTTGTCATATAGTGTTACACTTATCCTGTAAACCAAAAGGTTATAAATAATGAGATATTTACAAATAGGTATAGAAACAAATCAGATGATTCATTCTATCTGAATGTTTTGAATCAGTAATTCAACAATACATCTGGCTGTTTCTTCAATTCTCCGTAAAATATCAATACACCCTTGAAATGGTCCTTCCCAGTATCATGAAATTTGATCGTTTTTCGCCATAACGTAATGAAGGAAAGTCCAAAACGTTTTCCCGACCACATATTTTTCGAAATGTCGAACAACAAATGAATTATTCAATATTGAAGATGTACTCTCAATACCTGTGAATCCAGACGCTACTGAGCTGTGGCATCAGTGTCTCCTCGCAATATGATTGGTTGGAATTTGTGATGGCTTGGAAGCATGCCACTATTAACAGATTTCGATAAGATCCTTGAATTGATCATATTATGTGCAAGATGCGACAAGGAATGCCATGATTCGAAATTACCTATGCATTAGGTAATTGGTTATTTGGTAATTCACTTCTGATCACTTTCAATTCACTATGAACTGCGATATATGAGTTTCAAGATTAGCTAGGATAAAATGTGAAACAGGCATCTAAGAGATGCTTTTCACATAGTTTCCCGTCTGCTCAGTTTGTTTGAGTTAATTGTACAGAAATTATATGTAACGACTTTAATGTGAATCAATGAGACAACTGTAGACATATGTTCAAAAGAGCTGGTAGAATATCTTCCAAATGATCATTTTCATCAAAGGGTCCTATTCCCGAACTTTATGAATATTCAGAAACATTTATTTTTGTTACATGGCCGGGATTAATCGGAGTCGCAGTATTCCCTCAAAATATTTCATTCATATTCTCATTGAGTAAGAAGTTTTCAACTTTCCAAACCCTGTCAGTTGCTTCAGAATCTAATCTAGTTACTAAACCTAGGATAAGTAGGATACCTCGAGAATCTCAGAACAAACAAAGTATTTTCGGCAACTCGGGCTATTGGGGCTCTTTGATATCATATTTTGATTTTTCAATAATTTGCGTTCCTTGCTGCCATGAAGGGTTGAAAAATTTTAAATGTCGAATATCAGAGTAATATGTAATGTTGAATTCTCAACCGGCGCCTATGATGTGACAAAATAACCATTCAGTATCATCTATTGAATTTGATATAGTATGGTTTCCTTTCATGTTGCAGAGAAACTGTGAAGTTTGATAGCAAGACAAGTTGAACTGAAAGCCATTTGGGTTTCAACTATGAGATTGACTTATATTTGGTACTAACAGTCCCCTGGGTTTAGGAATATACTATCATTATATAAAATCATCAATATTACATAGAGTAGATCTAAATATGCGAATATGTTTATGATATTAGCACTTTTTTTAATGTTAGTTCTGTTGCTTGTCAAACCTGTCAGACTGTTGTGAAATAACCTCCAAAATTTCAAAAAAAAAACCAATAGGTCGCGTGCAAGAACTGTCAGATGACCGACCCTGGAGGCGAAACATATTTGTTTACAAGTGATCGAAATAGTTTTCCACAATTATTTTGGCATTGAGTCGTATTTTTCCGCTATTCATCAATTCGCTAATGCCATCACATTGTGCTGTTGTAAAATGCACAAAAACTGCAGCGGAAGATGAAGAAATCCGGATGGTACATTATGATTCAAAAGTAAGTACCTACTATAGTCACTCACATAGTTTTCATTTTTGAAATTTGGTTATTTCTCTGATTTCTCATCGAAATTCCTTCTGCAATAGGATCAGCTACTAGAAATATACCTGAAATTTCTAGAATAATGCAAGAAGATTGGATTCATGCAATCAATCGGGAGGACTGGTCTGATATGCTGACGATCGTGTGTGTTGTAGACATTTTCAATCTATTAGCAGCATTAGCTTGTATTGCAGAAGTGGCAGAAGGCAGAAGGAATTTTAATGAGGAATGACAACATTTCATAATGTGAGATTACTATTTATCTGAAAAATCATATTCCCTAGTCTCTTGCTGCATTTTTTGTGCATTGTACAACAGCACAATGCGAAGGCATGCTTGAATTAATGAATAACTCAAGAAACACGAACAAAATATTGTGAAAAACTATTTCAACCTTTTGATTCCTCTGTAACCAAATAAAAAAGTGAGGTTGTGTTTCAATAATTCACAGAAGAATGAGGTTGTGTGCACGATGACCTACCTTGGAGGTAAAATATTGAAACACAACCTCACTCTTCTGTGAAACATTGAAACACAACCTCACTTATTTATTTGTTTACAGAGGAATCAAACGATTGAAATAGTTTTTCACAATATTTTGGCATACGAATCGTGTTTTCTGAGCTATTCATTAATTCAAGCATGCCTTCTCATTGTGCTGTTGTACAATGCACAAAAAATGCAGCGAGAGACGAAGGAATATGATTTTTCAGGAAAATAGTGATCTCACATAGTTTTCATTATGATATTTTGTCATTTCTTATTAAAACTCCTTCTGCCACTTCTGCAATAGAAGCTAATACTGCTAAAAGGTTGGAAATGTCTACAACATACACGATCATATTGCGTCAGCATGTCAGACCAGCCCTCCCGTTTGATTGCATGAATCCAATCTTCTTGTATTATTTTAGAAATTTCACGAGTATTTCTATAAGGTCCTATTGCAGAAGGAATTCCGATGAGAAATCAAAGAAATTACCAAATTTCAAAAATGAAAACTATATGTGAGTGACTATAGTAGGTACTTACTTTTAAATCATTTTGTACCAACTGGATTCCTTCGTCTCCCGTTGCATTTTTTGTGCATTATACAACAGCACAACGTGATGGCATGAGCGATTTAATGAATAGCCGAAAAACACGATTCGTATGCCAAAATAATTGTGAGAAAAAATTTCAATCACTTGTAAACAAATAAGAAAAGTGAGGCTTTGTCATCTGACAGTTCGTGCACGCAACCCCTACCTACCTTCTCTCCTTATCCTACATATCTTTAGTGCACTCCAAAATAAAAAAGAGGGAAAAAATACACACCTACTATGGTTGGTGTTTCAATCTTGAAATAAGCAAATTTCAGTGGCATACAATATACAATGTCTCACTATGTACTAACCTACTTACTTTTTTTTGCACTCTCTGCATGTCTTCATCCTACAGAATTTTTTTTTGTGTTCTACATATCGGCTCTTGTAAAAGTATGTTCTTCCACAGTGCTCGCACATACGACCATTGCAAATATGGCTTCTCAGACCGTGGTAGTTCCAACTTTCCAGTTTGCATTTATCGCACTTGAATGGATTCGCATCTCCATGTGCTTGCTTCGTATGCTCAGACATCTTGTTTCCATTGAACACTCCATCGCAATACGGACAAGCGAACATTTTGCACTTGCTGAGATGCACGTTCCTGGATCTCGTGCTAAAGAACACTTTGCCGCAGCCCTGTATGATGCCACGAAATAGTTAGCAGCTGCATACAAGGTGTCCCAGAACAACGTACCATACATTTTATCTGGTGAACTCGGAACCAAAATAGACTGATTGAAATCAACTTACTTCTACAGGGCACGACGAGCTTACACTATCTTTATATCGAGAATCAGTCGGGAGAAATTGATGAAAATGTACGAGCTCATATTTTAGAATACGCTCTCTTCATTACAAATATTTTCTACAATGCAGTGTTGCCGCTTCTACTAGAAAGTAGTAGCAACATTGATATTTTATATGGAACACCCTGTATTTTATCGTAATTTCAGATTCTTCCTGAAGAGATGATTTCATCGATATATCACACTTGGAGTCTATCGAAAATGATTACAGAGATATAGGGTGTATTTTTTTGTGTCGAAACTATTCATTATCGGTCAAAACGGCTCACATGTCCCTATCTCAACTTTTGATTCACTATTTACTGATATTTGATCGGTCTGATCTTCCTGTATCAGTGCACACACTGGATATAAAATTTTTCTTCAATGCCCTCTCACGGCTCAATAGTGCATTTTCGTATAGAGGTAAGTTAGACTGCAATCGGTTTATTTTGGACTCTAGCTCACCCTGTAGAATTTATGATACGTTGTTCTGGGACACTTTGTATAAATCATATTCATATTAGACTCGCCGACAACAAAAACCGGCCAGCAAAAAAGTTTGCCAAATCGATCAACCTGACACCCTGTAACTTTTTTAATTCTTGTCCGATTGATCATTATACAGGGAAAAAGATAAGTTACTCTTCCACCCTTAACTTCTCAACTGCTCTGTGGCAAAGGTGAGTTGAAGAGTGGAAGTACCAAAGGCACTAAGTACCAAAATTCAAGTTTTTCATGTTTTTGCTCGAACTGGGCCTATGTACCATCGCCAATATACACCCAGAAGGGTTCCAAGTGCCCTCTCAATTATCCACTTCAGGAAATGGAATTCAGATGTATAGTGCGTTGTTTTATGTTGTGGCACGTTTTATTTAGATAGGTTCTAAGTGCCAATTGTTTGCTCATCATTTTGTGTTTATTTATATCAGCTGGATTGTGGTGTTTACATGGAAAATATAGAAGAAAATACAGAAGGAAGGTTCATTGAAAAACATAAAAATAAAATACATGCTGGAAAGGCGTGTGTTGAAAGGACACGGAAGAAATATTGTTCCGAAACCTCCATCAAATTAAAGGGCAAGACAATCCAACAGTTCTCTTGATGAAGGAAACTTTGTCTGACGTAGAGCTATTGAAAGAAATCAATATTGTGGAGAAAGGCAGAACCATTGAACATCTGAAATCTGCTACCTTGAATCGAGGAGCAAAAAATCTTTATGGTCTTCGATTCCTCACCTGGAAAATCCCGGTAATGAATCATTCTATAGAAAACTATTGACCTACAAGAAAAAAATTAGGACCAAGTACTGTTCAGCTCTACTTGTAATTTGTTTATAACCTCGAAACAAGATGGTATTTATGCTCATACCAGAAGTTGTTCTGACTGGAAGATATCTTTGATAAATAAAATAAAAAAAAAGAATCCATTTACAAACATACCTGACATTCATTCGAGTCGTTCGGTTCGTACTCGTAGTGAATCGGCTCCATCAGATAGGCCTTGGAAAGGTTGTGCACTTCAGCGTAATGATTGATCTTTCTCTCCTTGGATACAAAAAGTTCGTCGCAACGGGGGCAATTCAAGTACGTGCGACTTCCCACCTACAAAAGAGTTGACTTTTTCATCTTAATTCAAACTTTTTTATCTTAATTCAAACTTTTTTCTATAAATGCAAACTCTTCAAATGTATTTCTGTCAAAATTGTTGCGATCAAGACTTCTATCAAAAGTTTTTATATCATTTGTGTTTCGATCAAATTTCCGCCGTCCGAAATGAATTACACACAACGGTGGCCTTTCAATGCTATCGTACCCACCAGTAACACCCTTTTGTTTTCATAAAAGTTTTCATACGATTTGCAGTTCTGCAATAGATTCACGCCGTTTTGCTGCAATGAAATGAGGCATTCGGGGACGGCGTCCTTGAAACTGACGACTGCATCGTGATCCGGCATTTTCGAGTATCGCAAAGGCAGGAAACTGCCATAGTGGAGATCTGGAACCATCTTAGCCACTTCCTTCTTTCGAATTTTGACCACTTGTTTCACTAAAACGATAGTAACTCGTTATCATTGTCCTTCCGATTGAAAATCTAGTAGGTGATATATAATTAATTTGAAAAAAATGCAAAAAATCGCCCTTATAAACGACTAGCTGTCCGATCCGGCGTCGCACGGTTGGTGTACTTATTTTGAAAAAATAAAAAAATTGTTGCAGTCGTTCTAAGCTATGCGCGGCGCGTTACTATAGTATATATTTTTTTTATTTTTTTAAGTTTTGTCTGCTTACCAATAGCTACTATTATAGTATTATATACTTAAACCTATTTCTATTCTCTCATTATCTTTCGAATTTTTTTGTTCATTTACGTATTAAACATTTCAAACCAATCACAAGCCGTTTGGTAGTTGACGTACCGACAGCAGCGCCACCTACCGCGTCCAATTGTATTTTAAATCATCCAGGAAACCATATGAAATTTCAACCCAATCAGTTCAGCCGTTTAGAAGTTATTTGAAAAAGATTATAAGTACGGAAGGATAATTCTCACTATCCGTTGTCCTATTACCCGTTTTCCCGTAGTAATGAAGCATTTTTTAATGATAAAATTATTTTTCAAACCGGTCCAGTAGTGTCGGAGCCTATTCTATACAAACAAAACTTTCCTCTTTATAATATTAATATTAGTACTGATATTTTCATTAAACCAGTGACCGCTATTTCAAAATATGTTATTCATTGTTATCCTAACTCTGAAATTGTTTCATGTTCCTGTCAAATTCGTGATCAGACATGTCTTATGTTGAAACATTTTAAATAGAAACATTGTTAATTATTACACATACCTACAGTGCGCGCGTGAGTATGAAAACATAAAGATATCTTTGACAACCTACAAGATACAATTAGACGATTTTGGTTATGTTTTTTTTTATTTCGGTGTGAAATGTTCTTACACACTAGCTTCAATAAAAAACCGGAAACCGGGACATATTATCGTCCCAAAAGGAGATATTTTTCGAAATATAAAAGAAGAACGTTTTGATTTCTTGAGAAAAATTAGATAATTTGCGTTTTTCCTGGAAAACTATTTCTACCTTCTGCAAATAAATCTTTGATAATTCCTTACGTTCTCCTCGTTTCTGGAGTTGTGGAAAGTATTCAGAAAATCTATATGGCAGAAAATCAGACAATGTTCCAACATATTTCTAATTCATTACTAAACTGCTCCACATTTGAAGTGAGACAAGCGAACATTTTGTTTGTTTTCGAACCGTGATAACTTTGGATGAGATCAACCGATCTTTGATTAGTTTTGAGATTGTGATTGCCCAGTTGATTGGCTATAACATATTTTTTTACGTTTCTCCACCATTTCAGAATTATGACCTACAGGATGATATCTGAAAGTGTGATAATTTCCGAAAAGTTTGAGGTCGCCCCGTTAGCAGTATATTTTTTTTTTAAATTTTTCTGACGGCAAAAACATGAACCCTAATGTGTTTCCTCGAAATGGTTTCGGATTCATCTAGATCCATACAGGATGTTTTGAGATATGCAATATCATGGATTAGCAAAAGTGATTTCGTGATTGAACGAAAAACCTTCAGGGTTAGTTCGCAGGGAGGAATAAAGTGAATGTGGAGTGTGGTTATTTTATGAATAAAATTGTCAAAGCTAGGATGTTTTTTTTTTCAGTGGATATAGAGAATGAGAATTGATGAACATATACCACGAAGAGAATACAGATAAAACGTAACACAATATTTTTTTAATAAAGAAAAATTAACAACGGCAGATGTGGTCGATTATCAATATTTTGTTACACCACCCCTGGCCGCTGCGAGAGCCCTAACTCTTCTCGGCATACTTGTTATCAAGCCATCAATGAAATCTTGGGGAATAGCTGTCCATTCTTCCACTATCGCATCTTCCAGTTGTTGAATATTCATCATTTCACCTTCTCTTCTCTTCAAACATAATTTTAACCTAGCCCATACATGTTCTATTGGGTTCATGTCTGGAGATACGGGTGGCCATTCCATTCTTTCAATATTATGTTGTCTCAGAACTTCGGTTACAATTCTTGCACGATGTGGTCGTGCATTATCATCGACCAGTACGAAATTGTCTCCAAAGTTTTGAGCAACTGGTATAGCAACATCTCTTATACACATGTCACGATATCGAACAGCATTCATACTTTCCCTCAAAATAACCAACGTGGTGCGATGATTCATCATGATACCGCCCCATATCGTAACACCCCCACCCCCAAATGCCACCCGCGCCTCCATGTTTTCCTCCAGAAACCTCTCACCCCGTTCTCGCCATACTAAAATCCTTCCATCTGATCTGAACATATTACACCTACTCTCATCAACGAATAAACATCTCCTCCAATCAGCCATTCCCCAGTTCAAATGGTTCTGAGCTCAAAGTCTTCGAGCTATCCTGTGGTTCAGCTATAACAAAGTACAAGATGCCCTCTTTCTCGCTCTCAGATTGCGCTCATGAAGCCTTCTTCTGATTGTCTCATCTGAGACAACAACTCCTGTTGCATTTCTTAGTGCACAGTTCAGTTGTCCAGCAGTCTGTGTTCGAAGACGACGTACCGAAGTAACTAAGAAATTATCATTTCTATCTGAAGTGTTCCGTTGTCGTCCACCTCCGTGACGATAATTAGGATCTCCTGTTCGATCGTGACGACGGATTGCCCTGTATATTGAAGCTCTTGATGTATCGAAATACTGTCCAATGTCTTCAACATTCAAACCACCATCTCTCATTCTGAGAACCATTTGTAATTGTTCATTAGTTAGTCGTGGCATATTTTATTACAATAATCAAATGTTTGACAATTTCTGATTATTTCCCAGACAACATATTATACCGAGGGGTTAACCAATGAATTTAAGGTATTCAAAAAATTCGAATAGCCATTATGTTGTTCAAAATTGCATATCTCAAAACATCCTGTATGGATCTTGATGAATCCGAAACCATTTCGAGGAAACACATTAGGGTTCATGTTTTTGCCGTCAGAAAAATTTAAAAAAAATTATCCTGCTAACGGGGCGACCTCAAACTTTTCGGAAAGTATCACACTTTCAGATATCATCCTGTAGGTCATAATTCCGAAATGGTGGAGAAACGTAAAAAAATATGTTATAGCCAATCAACTGGGCAATCACAATCTCAAAACTAATCAAAGATCGGTTGATCTCATCCAAAGTTATCACGGTTCGAAAACAAACAAAATGTTCGCTTGTCTCACTTCAAATGTGGAGCAGTTTAGATGACAATCTGTAGAGAATAAATGATGACAAATTATAGAATTATGAAAAATACTTATGACACCGTTCCCGATTTGAATACAATAATAAATATATCTATCAATCTCAAGCAGAAATATTTACAAAATAGTATAATACCAAATTACTTTTTTCATTTTGGAATTGATCCTTCATTTGTTCACGGATTTCCAGACATTTCTTCACAAATTTCAGTGTATTTCTCAGAACCATGAAGCATGAATCACAAACAAAATCGTCATATTTTATAGCATCCTGAAAAATAAAATCTTATAGTAATTATGTGTATACCAGAGGTATAGATATCTCAAGTATTTTAACAAGTTTGGAGGAATAAAATGCAATATGCATAGTGGAAAAAATGTTATAAACTAATTGGGAAGTAAATATTACTTACGCTGCTACTACGTATGTATAATAGTTATTTCGGCTTACCCCATCAAAGTATTCTTTTTGGTGCAACTGTGGAACAAGAATAAGTTGCAAAGCATCTTTCACCGTTTTGTCATCATAACATAACATTGTGACGGAAGCACTATATAATTCATTAGGAAGAGATTCCATACAAGCACAACATCTGCAAGAGAATGAAAATGATTTTTTCATTGAAGTCAAAGGTCTAGGATTTCCAAGTATATTGATTGATTCGAAGGAAACTCGATTATCTAAACTAAATCGTTTGAAAGCACTTCGAAAGTTAAAGATAGCATGCAACTTGCACCTTATTATTTTTTTTTAAATTTTAATGTAATTCATGTTCATGTACTGTCAGTTTCCGCATTTTTCATTCATCTATTTGTGGTTATGTTCAAATGTCAGTGCTTGTCAGAGTGTCTTTGTGTCCGTACTGTACTGAAACTTATCCAAGTACTTTGGTTGTGGGGTCACACTGATTTTTATACTTTGACAAGGAACTGCGGTTATTCCAAAATCATTTACTACATTCAATTTGCGACGAAAATTTACCGGTATCGAAGTTAACGACCACAAAAAAAAACGAATTAGATGATACCTACTTTAAAAATGACCATAACAAGAGGATATTTTCAATATGGAAAATGAAAGGTTTCATATCATAGATATATAAAAAGAGGAAATACGAAATTGTTGACATTTTGTCCCGATCCAACATCGTTTTCAGCCCTAGATCTACCGCCTGTGTTTGAGAACGTGGGAAGCAGTTATCATAGATTAATTATATAATATAAATTTTTTATGTATATTCATTCTGGATGTTTGTTCCTCAATTGAAATATATGAATTCTGAAATAAGTGTGGCAACGCTGTATTCGTGTTTACTACGGGTCAGGTTAGGTTAGGTCACGCATAACTAAGATGGCTACAGTCCTTGTAGCCATCTTACGCATAACTTTCTTAATCATTCACATGTCAAAATCCGATGTTGCATGTTATTTAACTAAATAATTGCAGGAAACCTTGTTTCTTCTGTTCAGATTCCACTGAATGATGGATCAAAATTAGGTAATTTTACCTTAGGTACTAGGAATATTTGGTATTAAAATTGAAAGATTAGAGCCAAACATGTTTTAATAAGTATAATAGCGTTGTCACTGTAGTAAAATTGTCTTGACCCTCGCTTATTCTACGCGACTGATGAAGAAAAGTGTGAACATTGACGCACAGTTACAGCGTTGCCATTTTTTAAAGCCATCTCTTTCTAACTTATTAGTAACTTTGAAAGTATGTATGATTGTAAACAAATAGTGTTTTATGACTGAATTGTCATGACTCCCCTCTTTTTATATGTCTATTCATATGCATAAAGTTGCAAGAAATTTTATATAATAACATAGTTTCGTTTTATTCGTTCCATTCTGGTAGCGGTGGTGGAAACAGAATGACTTTCACAAATAAAACGAGAAATTTCATGACCTTGCATGGGAGAATTTACATGAGATTTTATTTTTATATGGGGGATCCAAATATTCTCAAAATCATAATACAAGAGTTAAGAATCTAGAAATGAATCAACTAATATTTGGAGCAGTGATTGTGTTGATTAAAAATAAACTTCTCTGAGATCGAGACAATTCATTTTATCTAGGAATGAACATATTATCAAACCTCTTCTTACTTGACAGAATCATGAACTAGTGAAACTCACAATGAAAATGTCTGTCAACAGTCATTCACGTCATTCCTTGTAGTGAGACGGAATGGAAACTAGCAACCGGAATCGGAAAAGTTGCACTGATTCCCGTGGTGGAATCGGATTAATAAAACGCAACGAATGATTTAAAAGCGAAACCCAATAACAATAATCCTGATTTTGTTACAGTACTACAAAAACGTCAAATTCTTTAAGGAATTCAAATTATCTACCTGAAAACACCTTAAAATACATACTTGTACACCCTCTCCACCTCATGTTCTCTAATGTAATAAGTTGAATCGATAGGAGGAGTTGTGTTTACTAGAGAAGTAGTTATATTTGCTACAGGAGTAGGTTCTTCCAACCGCTGAACCGGCAAAGGAATGACTTCTTTTTTCGGGCTAAAAAGAAAAAAGATGATAATTCGATGATGAATAGTACACATAAAATGCGCATTGATGTAGGTAGTGATGTAAAATTCTCGAGAAAGTATTTTCCCCGAGCACGATCGAGCATAAACGAAAAAAAGTCGGGAATTTATGTTCTTAATGAAAACGCTCAAAATTTTCCTAACGCTTCATAAGATAATGATCCACTTTTTAAATAGATGCCGCTTTGAATTTTCACTTATAATATCACGAGAGCTTCAATTATCGTCTTCGACTAGGGAGAATTTTCAAAATATTAGTGTTCTCGAAAAAATTTCCGGATATTAATTGAAGCTAAAGTGGTATTCGGTAAGAAAATTTACATGTTGATGGTTGTTTGTGATGAAATGTAAGAATTAAAACGTATAGTAACAACATGTGTTTTTGTAAATTTCGAATTTGCTAGTATACCTACATAATATTATATATGGTAAACTGTTGATAAATCATTTTTATTCATTGACTCATAGAATGAACTCGAAATAGTCGGAAGTTGAATGTAAATGTCATTTAACATATAAACGTCAAAAAATTTCCAGTGTGATTTCATGCTCCGTCCCCCAAGGAGGGAAAAATTTCCAAGAAATTTGTTTAGTTGCTATGGTAACGAAACGAAATACATGCTTTAAATTGATCGGAAATGTTTGGTGTGAAATTTTCACTTTTATTGATATCTATCTTAGACACAGTGTATGAATATTATTTTTCCTAGTCCTACGTAATGAAATGTTCATAAGATGTAACTTACATCATGTAAGTATACCGAGGTATACTTTCAACAACAATGTTATTGTCTTCCAGTATCATGTTCGATGCTCTTGGTGATGAGTGTGGACTGTATTTCGATCGTTGAATAAAAACTGATATGATATGAAGAATAAAAGGGAAATTGCAACCGATTGCAATTTCTCTCCCAACTTTATTGATTCAATCTTATGTTTTAACAACACGTCGTCATGATAACAACAAATGAAATCCTATCCTATATAGGGTAATACCACTAGCAACTACCATTATACAGGATCATACAGGTAAAGTACTGGACATACATGGTGTCTTAACTACTTGACCTAGATATAACATAAAGGGTGATGTACAAAGTACCAAACAATCATCTGACCCATTGGACACAATGTTGTGGAGATGACTTTGGATTTTGTCAACGAGGCCAATGTACAGGATGATTCACCATTAATCCCCCCTCCCTCCCCCTAGCTCATTTATTTTTGAACCGATCTTTCAGATTTTCTACAGGGTACTAGTTGATTTTTTTTCAACTGGGAGACCTTGCATTTTATTGCATTTCAAGATTCTCCTTGAAGAGCTCATTTCATGCATACATATCATACTGATTACAGAGATATAGGGTGTTCAAAATCAAAATTTTTCAACTTTAGGATTGTGTCTGAACTATTCATCACAAATGTGCGGTAGGCTTCTTTCACCGTACTGATGAGGGCCGAAATCCCGAAACACGTGTATACGGTTATCACTTTGTGAGGGCTTAGTCCAACAATCTCTTCCTAGTCAGTTTATTATATTTATTTTCACTAGGGTTCTATTTCTTTTCAATGTTTCAATTGTCAATTTCAGTTTCGATTTGTACATAGTTATATTTCAGCTTTCTTCAGTTTCAATTAGGTATTGAAAAGGAATATTCTCAGATAGATTATGAACATAAAAAAAATGAAAAATTGGATATACATATTAAGAAATACATCGAGAATTCGCATTCTCATGTGATAAAAATATCAATTCTTTCTCGGTTTATTTAACAAAAAACAACTACTTTCCTGGCTTTATTCCACGACGAACATTGAATTATATCTATTGAACACACACTCTTCGAAAGTTGAGAATTTTCTTCTTCAGATGAAAATATGTATATGTACATAATATCATTCTGGATATTCAACAGAAAACAACTACTTTCCTGGCTATTTGCCACGTCGAACATTGAATTATATCTGTTGAACATCCAAAGAGAGAGCATGGAGAGGAGTAATATTGTTGATTCCTCGTACAGGATGATTCACCATAAATGTCCATGTGCCCCTCTCTAGCTCACTTATTTTTTAACCGATTAAAAAATTTGAAAAATCATCCAGAATGATTTTTCAGGAATTTTTTTCCCGTTGCATCAGAAAATACAGGGTACTCGGAACAAACGATATTCAGAGTACTACTTGATTTTTTCAAATGGAACACCCTGCTGTATTTCATTGTATTTTTAGATTCTTCCTGGAGAGCTGATTTCATCAATGTATCACACTTGGGGTCTAGCGGAAATGATTACAGAGATATAGGGTGTTCAAATCCGAGATTTTTCAACTTTAGTATTTTTTTGTGTCGAAACTATTCATTATGTATGATTTTTCAAATTTTTTAATTGGTTGATAAATAAGTGGGCTAGAGGGGGGGGACATTTATGGTGAATCACCCTGTACGTCCCTTCATATACTTGACAGATAAAGTATGAAGAGAAGATCTGGAATACCCCTCTCTTGTAAAATAGTTAGGAGTGTAGGAGTAATAAATAAAGTATCATCATGTCATTTCATTTCGTCATTTAAAAAAATATAAGGGCATATGTTAAGGGCGCGCATCACAGTGAAATAGTTCGCCCACAGACACCAGTGAAACTATAAATATATCACAGCCGTCTAGTGGCGCCATAATTATAGTTTCATGAATTATTTCTACAGAATCCTTTAGATACATTCAATTCAATCAATAGGGAACCTCATCAATAGATGTCTCTGAATAATGTTTGTGGCTGTACTAAGGGAACAGATCCATCGCAAAAGCTGCTTCACAAAAACTCGGATTCTTGTTCCGTGCTAAAAGCTACTTTACACCTCAACAGCTTCTCATGATCTACAAAGCGCAGATACGGCCTGTTCTAGAATACTGTTCCCACATATGGGGTTCAGCACCAAAACATACGCTGATGCTCTTAGATTCCATCCAGAGAAGAGCCATTCGCCTGGTGGGTGACGCCACACTCACTCACTCTTTGACATCATTGGAACACCGTAGAAAGGTCGGCGACCTTTCACTTTTCTATCGATACTTCCACGGGAAATGTTCTTCGGAAATCTCTGCAATCATCCCTTCACTAGCAATACCAATCAGACGAACTAGACAAGCCCAGTCAGCACATCCTTTCGTTGTCAACCTCAAAAGATGTCGAACAGCACTTTATCAAGACTCCTTCATCCATAGAACGGCTAGGCTCTGGAATTCATTGCCTGTGGAAGTATTCCCAACAACATATAATCTCCAAAAATTCAAAAAAAATTCCAATACCTACCTCCTGTCCCTATCCTCCCTAGGAACACACGATGTTCTTTGAACATTATAGGGATTCCCTTTCGTGCGCTCCAATCGATAAAAAAAAAAAAAAAAAAAACAAAGTCACCTACAGTGTTGCCAGTATTTAATCAGAGTACGTCGCCGAATTAGTAGTAGTAGAAATTCATAAGTGGAATGATATATTTCACATTATTATATTTACCACCTAGTATTCCCATCCTGTGATGACCTCACCATAGAATGAAAGTCATACGATAGTTTATATCTAACATATATTATTGATTCTCTGTCACAGTGATTGTGGCCAAACTCCTCCGAAACGGCTTGACCGATTCTTATGAAAATTTTTGTGCATTTTTGGTAGGTCTGATAATCGATCGTAAACTATTTTTTAAATTGGAAACTCAAGATGGCGGATCCAATAAGGCGGACGAGTTTTCTAATTATGATCCGATTCTATTCAAAATCTCTGTATCGGGTGGTTTTCGGGATTGAAAATAATGATACTTTCGTCAGAATAAGGAAATTAAATATGGTGGATCCAATATGGCGGACGAGTTTTGTACTTGTGATCCGAATATTTTCAAAATTGGTATCTGGGGGTTTTCGGTATCGGAGAATATGATTCTTTTGTCAAAATCAGAAAAATAAAGATGGCGGATCCAATATGGTAGAGTTTTGTAATTATAAAAAAATTCCAATACCTACCTCCTATCTCTATCCTCTCTAGGAACGCACGATGTTCTTTGAACATGTCTTTGAACATTTTAGGGATTCCCTATCGTGCGCTCCAAGCGAGAAAAAAAATCCTATTCTATTCAAAATTGGTATTTGGGGGTTTTCGGTATCGGAGTTTATGATTGTTTTGTCGACATTTAAAAAATAAAGATATCGGATCCAATATGGCGGACGAGTTTTGTTCATGATCCGATTATTTTCAAAATTCGTAGGTATCTGAGGGTTTTCGGTATCGGGGAATATGATTCTTTTGTCAAAATCAGAAAAATGAAGATGACGGATCCAATATGGTAGAGTTTCGTAATTATAACCCTATTCTATTCAAAATTGGTATTTGACAAAATTAGGAAATTGAAGATGGCGGATCTAATTTGCATATTGGATCCGGATCTATATAGGTTTTCGTTGAAAGGGATTTTCTCTTTTTATTTCAGAGTTCTGTGGCCAGAGAATGAAGAAGTTATACGTATCATTGTACCTTTGGTTCTTATAATCATTTGAACTTCCCGGAGATTTTGAAGTTTTTGTTGACATGTTCTCTCTGTGCGTTTTTGAAACATTTCAGACACATTTACCTGATGAAAATAGATGAGATGTTTATGATATATTATTATCAACAATTTTTTCCCATATGATGCCAACTTTATGAATGATACTGTAGAGTGTAGAAACATAATATAAACAAAACACCTGCTAACGTCAAATGGATCTCGCTCTGCATGTGCGGATGACTCGAATCTACATGGATGGTAAAGCCACAAAGCCATTGAATTTGGACTCGCGATACTCATCTCACTCCCAGAAGCCCATCAAATCGTCTCAATAAGTCGCCTGTCGCCAAGTTCAATTTTTGGTCGCCAAAATAGGTTCAGAGATAGCCCAATTGTCGAGAAATCGCCCATACTGGCAACACTGGTCAC